ATGATGATGATGTTGATGATGTCAGATTTGCGATCGGATACTAGCCACGGCTTTAACAATTTGAGACAATCCAAATATTCATAGAGGATAAGATAAGATAAAATCCTTTGTTTCAGTGAACTTTCAGGGAATGACCTCTCTTACAGTTCACGTCACTGAAATGTGTTCTGGAACTCTAGGAACTATCATGTGATTGGAAAACTTCTCAAAAGAATCTAATGCCTTATGAGATGTGAGATTTTGTTGCATCCTCTCAGTCATGTGACTAGGTCGAGAACTGGTCTCTATTCGTTGATTATCGCTGATTTCTGATTTCATTCTGCCTAAAAAGCGATCATTGATGTTCTTCCGCGCACGGCGTCTCAATGAGTCTTCAATGAATCGCGGTCCATTAACTTATTTTAAAAAAATCAGTAAAAAAACTATCACTATGGTTATTATTTCATGAATTCCTGGTAAATTTACTGTCAAGGCAGATTTTGAACCAGTATGACACAGCGCGCGCCCTTCGATGGGCTACGCTACGCTACACTTACACGCTCTCCGTCACATTGTAGGACTTCTCACGTTCTCATTCACTATTATGCGCCGTCGGTACTCACGGGATGATATTATTTGTTTCAAACGTGCCAGGATATCCTTTGATGATCACGTTCATAACACTGAAGCACAATATGGACGAGGAAGTTCAAACGGGTTTTGTCCGACCTGACATCTGTCCGTTGAAGTACCAACACCCGCCTCACCTCACAAGGTTACACCAAGGGTTAAATAACTAGAGCACTGTGGTGTTATTTTTTATCAGACCGCATCCCATGAAAGTGGGAATTCTGGGACATCCTTGTCAGATTGTTATGATATGACACCCGTTGATGAACCGTAGCGATCCGGTTGTTTGTTGGGGCCATTCACTCATGATAGTAGGCCACAATGATAATTCAAAGTACAAAAAAAATGCTTAGTTGTTAAACTTTCTAACAGATCTTTGGTTTTTCGACGATAAAACATTTCACTGACAAACAGATATTGAAAACTTGGAGTTCAAGGTCAATTTGAACCAATGCAATTTATTCAAACCAACCGTTGTGAATTCTCAATTCTCAAATGATGCATACATGATCGGAACGGATTATAGGTTACCTGTAAGTGTCACCGGTCCAAACGCCGAGGACTCGCTGTCCGATGTGCAATTCCAATGACGATATTTGAATTGATTCTGACACTCGTGAATGCCCAGTTTGGCCCCAATACTGATCACTGGCATGTGATCGAAATAACGTTGACAAAGTCGGGCCTGGGAATGGGTCAGGCCTTGAACACGTAAACACAACGGCTTCGGAGCGAGCAGATAGGCCGGGGTCTGATGAATTGTACGCCACGATAAGAGACCCAAATTCCTGCAGGACAGATAGCATGCAAAAAAGATGGTGTGATAGTGCTAGAAATTGAGTGAATTTGTTCAGTATCAAACTGCACAACGTTGTTGGGATCACGGTGCTCATTGTGTGTGTGTGTGTGTGTGTGCGTGCGTGCGTGCGTTTAAGTGTGTTGTGTTTGTGTTTGTGTGTGCATGCCTGTTCTCAGAACGGATCGCATTGTGAATTCCAACATGAAATCAATCCATATAAATGTGAACATAGGGTGATGAATGTATCTGTCCATGGATGGATGACACTACATCCGACAGGTGTTACGTGAATGTGGCAGGGCAGTGGACAAGAAGGGGTTATAGAACTATGTCCCGACATGGAGTACTGAGCAGGATACAGTAAGTCCGATGATGGATTACGTGAGTATCTAATGGCAGTCCAGAGACAAACTATTGAAACAAACTTTTAGGGTATTAATAAACAATCTGATCCTGCACACTAACACTGTACTTTACGGGAAAAAAATCTATTAACTCGAAGGGTGTGGAGACAAAGATATCACCCACCGATAGGAACCCAACGAACGAGACAAACGACTTCGATGAACCGAAGTTTTTCTCGAAGAAGCTAAACTTGATATCGAAGTCGTGGGGTGTCCGCGCAGTGAGCTAACCACCGAAAGAATTCTGAACACTCAATTGGCCGTGGCCATTTCTTGTCCTGTGCAACCGGAACTGAACTGAACTGAACTTCACATTCTAGTTTTGCAACCCGCACCCACATCCTAGTGATAAAAACTTGTGAGTTTGTTTTAAGAGAACAGTGAAAAATCAAACGTGTGAATATGAAAACTGAGATGCAAGCACAATAACGAGAAGCTAGTGCTCGTGCACAGTTGTCTTGGCAACAGATTTGTTTCCAGAATGTCGTAAGGTATCTGGTGGACTGAAAAGAACTATGAATGTTTAGCGTATCAAGCTTGGATTAACCAATTCGATTGTTTAGAGGCATCAAGGACGATGGATGATCGTGAGTGTGGGGTTCATTCATTGGGACCTACACGGTGGACGGTCAAAACCTTTGGCGAATGGCTTAATCCATTTAGAGTTTCAAGTTTGGATTAGCCCATCCGATTGTTCAGAGGCACCAAACACTCCATTAATGTTAGTATTCCAAATAGCCAGTGCCGGGTCAAAGAGACAAGCTTGTTAAGAACAAGTACGATTGGAGTATCGACAGATTGGGTTACAGAGAATGAAACATCTCATTTAGAACATGCCAATCATAATTCCGGCAAGCAAACAGGTCAAGTGATGAAACAGTCAGTGATTGGATGTTCATTGTCTGTGGGTTTTAAACCTATTTGAACGCACTTATTCGCTCCAGGAGGTCTTGTTCAGTTTTAACCATTGTGAAAATTCACCAATCTCATCTTTTTGCACATTCCAACTATTCTACTCAAAAATGTGAATAGTACATCACAACATTTGAATTTTGTGCTCGCGCACTCACACACACACACACACACCGTGAAATCCGATCTACATTTGTTTGCCCAATATGCACGTCATAGAAAGTGGACTAAACAATCCGAAACCCAGTGCCCCGGATGTTTCCAGAATCTGAATCAGTAATAGATTTCGTTTCAATTTGATGTGTTTCACGATTTGCATTGTTTTAACGCACGCGTTAGTTGCATTCAAACTTCATCAAATTTCTTTGATTAAAACAATGATTATCATTAAACCAATCCGGTTACGAACATTTGTTCGCCTAATTGAGTCAACTGTTAGAGTTGCTACTTGCATACCTTGATCCTTCTATATTGACCAATACCACCAAAACAAGCAGGTCCACGAGACCGTACCCGAGCATGCAGTCACGTAAAAAAACACGTCATGTTTGTTTATGTACCCCAACACTTGACTCTATCTGTTTGCAATTACAAACACTCACAACTGGGCGAACGCTTACTACTAAGTCCAATGAAGAAGAATTGCTTTTAACTGTCTGACCCCCATGGCCATTAGTCCGACTGACCCATTTGTTTGGAGAGTCACATCCTGTATACAATCGCTTTCGACGCCTTCGAATCCGGGATTTGGTTGGAGCACCTGGTTGTTGTAACGGGAGTAGCGATTGAGACACGCCCAACGAATATTCAGGAATGGAATAATCAAAAAGCAATGTTCAACCCGAGACCCCTTTGTTCTTGAGTGCATCCACCTCACCCACCCCCACACACTCCCCAGTCCCAGTTGTTCGGTCTTATTCCTTTTATATCTGGCCTTATTCGTTAACTCCACTCGGGGTACCTGTGATTATTCTGGTCACCCAACAGTCAACTGTGAGGCCAACTCATCTTCCGCGAAAACATTGTCCACAAAAGCTTCTGTTATTTGTCCCCATAGATGGAGTCAGTGGATAAAATGTGTGTGTCTGTGTGTGTGTGTGTGTGCGCGCGCGCGCGCGTACGTGCGTGACAGATAGAATGACTGGCCCGCAAAAAGATGTGATATTTTGATGGCGGTGCGTGCGCCAGTTGTCATCTGATTGCAGTTCTGGCTG